CGAACCATAATTCCCCCACAGGACCATAATTCCCTGAACTCTAAACCCTAAACCCTATGCACAATGCTGCCATCCATGGCCTGGCTTCGGAGACCTCAGAGGCTGAAAGCAAAGCTGCGGTCTGCGCCGAAGAACGTAACCGTTGCGATGAAGGCAGGGTTTAGGGTTTAGGGTTTAGGATTTAGGGTTTAGGGTTGGTGTAGGATGATGATAACAGGTGGGGCGATGGGAATGGGAAAGCTGCGAGGAAGACCAGAATTCGTGACGATCATGAAAACTAGTGACAATGATGGCGAGCACCAAACGAAGAAACGCGTTGAGTATTAGCTAGCAACGAGGACAACGTTCAGGGCTCTTACCCGCCAGCACCTTGAAGCGCAACAAGCAGGCAACGCTATGACAAGGAGAAGACTGTCTGCCGCAAGAATGTGCAGCGCAGAAGTCGAGGCGACGTCGCAGACATGCAACTTTGAATCAAGCCCACAATACCTCCACAACTGACCTCTCAATGAAAAACCGTGCTGGCGACGCCAAGCCAACCCAAAAACTGTGCAGAAGACTCCAAGCCATGACGCCCGATACGAAGCCCCAATATAGGGTTTAGAGAATTAGAATAGGGCTTCGGGGGTATGTTTTGTATAGTTTAAATAGGGACCAGAAGCGTATGCTATATTTATCATTCCTGCGAAACATATTAGGCTCCCTTCCTGAACCCTGGAAGGAGCTTCAAACCCAGTCCCTTCGGCTGGGCAGGCCGCGTACTTCAGCCTCACCCCGCTCTTGAGACGCTTGCGATGCCTAGGGTCGAAGTGGAGGATCTCAGTCCGTCGTCTTGTCAACAGGGGGCCCTTTATTTGTTGTTGCCTCCCGCCTGGCTAGGACGAACCTACGACGCAGGATCTTCACTGGTTTAGGGTTTAGGGTGCAAAACAACGACAGAGATCAGTCATACTCAATACTCTTCACACATTCTTGGGTTTGGATATGCTATACGATAAGAGTATAACAAAGAATCCGAGGGAACAGTGTGGGCAATGATTCATGCCTCTATATTCTGATCGTCAGCTGCTCGTTTCTGGTTCGGTTCGAGACAGCAAGTTTACCAAAGAGACTCGGAAGAGATTTTTCTGCTAGCTTTCAAGCTCAGACAAATACCTTTGCATGCGTTAATTATGCAGTTGAGTCAAGGTTTTGTAGCCGCACGATGATAGGTGAGCTGACTGAAGCGCTGTAGAACAAAAGCCCTGCAAAAGCCCGCACCACGGACTGCATGCTAATCCATGACGCAAAATCTCCTTGCGTTAGTATAGTATAAGTACAATCCCTAAGTCTGAGTGCACAGGCAGAGTGCATTTTCGTCCTATGACCGAGGCTCTAAGGGCATAGCACTCGCCAGGATGCACTGATGCAGCCTTTCTTGAGCCTGGGGCAGCAGTCACGACTATGACCACAAGAACCGCCCAGCAATCGCGGCGACTTAGAGATGTCACTGTCCACACACACGCACACACATCCAACCCCACCCAGCACACCGAAACTCGCTGCAAGACTTCCGACAGAAAAGGCGCTGGAATCCTCAAAGAACAATTGCTGCCGCACTGCTGCTCCTGCTACTGCTACTGCTGCTACTACTTCTGCTACTACTAACTTTCTTGCTACTATCACTATTACCATTACTATTGCTATTGCTACTGCTACTGCTGCTGATGCTGCTGCGACGAAGACTGTAACAGCTGCAGCAAGAGCAGGGACAGCAAGGGCAGAAAGAGCAGCAAAGGCATCGCCGACGACAATCATTGTCATTGCAATCGCCACAGTACGAATCACCGCTATATTTGTCACGTTCGTGCCAAACTTCTGGCAATCGCACAAATCGAACTACCATGTCCGCTGAGAACTGCGGAAGGCCTTGGCCAGCTCCTGAAGCTGACCTGCGAGCATGCTGTGTGGGGAGGCATGCCTTAGAGACTCAGGGTTCGGGAGGGCTTCTGTGGGTTTCCAGCGCCTGGACAGAGAGTAATAGACGCCCCGACGGTCTTTCCTTCATCCAAGGATCAACCAGAAGCATCTTTTGTGTAGTATATTCCTTTGTGTGAAACTTGGGCATGGGAGCAGGGTTCCATGATGCGTGCCTCATGCTTTCGCCATCTGCAGTCGGAAGACCAGTAATTAAAAGGGCTGACGAAGGCACATTGGAAGCAAACACAAAAGAAAGGACCACTGGCATCTCTGCAAGACCCACGGCAAACTACGTACGTAGCCAGCAATAACATATATGGTTGTTTCAAAAACAGACTCGCCCTGCGTACGAGCCGAGCCCCGCCAGATGGCTGACAAAACGTGCGACCATCAAGTTCCGAAATCCAAGGGCCGCTGAGATATGTTGGATGTAACGCGAGGCACACGTCCTGAGCACACCTTCCGTTCAACCCTCAGACTGTTTGCCAACCATAGGACCATGCTTCCTTAAACAGGCCTGGGAGCAGTCCAGCACCAAAACCTGAACCCCTCCCCCCCTCCCCATCAGAGGGGCTGCGCCATGGGAGTCTCGACCAAAACTCTGCACCCTGTGGTCGAGCCCATGGACCGGCCAATGCGCACCAACAGGTTAAGGGTTTAGGGTTTAGGGGTTCAGGGGTTTAGGGCGTAGTTTACTGTAAAGGTAAAAAGCCAAGTGCCCAACCAGAAGCATGCCACAGACTGTGCCAAAGACTCCCTTCCAAGATCTTCCAACCAAATCTCGAGGTTGAGGATTAAATTAAATCGCTACATTGAATTGACAGCTAGCCTCGGGTGTCCGGTCTTGGAGCATATCATATCATAGATCAGACCACTTTTAAACACATGAAAGGGCAAAGTGCTGATGCCCAGCTCACTAAACTCCGAAACCGGAACCCAAAAGCAAAAGGCCCAGAGCCCAAACCCGGAGGCGCGCGGAAGACTAAACACGCAACCTGGAGCCCCGGAATCTCAAAGCCTAACCTCTATCTCGATACCATCCTGAGCCTAAACCAAAGCGCAACACACCAACCTATAAGTCCCAAACCCTAAACCGAGATTGGGCAGTCGCCTTCAGTCTGGGCTGTTTGCTCTGTGAATCGCTTGTGGAGACCTCAGGCACCGAAGCAAAGATCGAGGGTTTCGAATTAAAGGTCTTGGAGTTCATCGGGGCGGGTGTAGCAAATCAAAAAAGATCCGATGACCTAGTGAGCTCCGCCTCCCACTTACCTGCTTACTAAGTCCTCTGGGCCTTCAACCCCTAAACAAATCCACGAAGAACCCAATACATCTCCTATCGAAGATTTTACAACAGAAGAGGAGTTGCCGAAGTACACCCACGATCCATGTGATTCAACAACAGATCGAAGGTCCCCATCTGTCACAATGATGTAGACCCCTCTTGTAGAACATGCATAAGCCGCTCACCCTCTGCAAACAAGGAATTACATCGGGAGCTCCATACTAAGACCCTTGAAGAAGCGATCGCCGGTCTTCTAAATTCAAACTGCTGCCGCATTGTCGCTTCATCCTCCAGGATGCCGGGAACAGCGCGTCTAATCAACAAGATGCTGACAGGCCACCACAGGACTCAAAGGGCCCGAAGGGGAGGTCATGACGGTGTCGTCAGGGTCTTTGCGTGGTTTTGCTGTAGGTCCGATGGACTTGGATGGGTGATATGTGCTGTCGTGTAGAAGGACCTAGAACAGAATGTGACTGCCTCGCCTTTTTTTAGAGAGTTGGTCAGGTCTAGAACTGATGATGACGATAATTTTTCCCTCCCGCCTGGCTAGGACAAACTGATGATGATGATGATGATGATCTCTTCTCCTGCCGCATGAACTGACAGGAATTTCGGCGAACCCACCCGCCACAACGTCATTGTTCGAAGTGAAAGAGCAAGCTGCCGACTGAGGGTTCGGCTTTGGAACTAATCAGATTAAATACCCCCAAATAGACACTCAGGAGGACTGCTGCCCCGCATTGCAAAGCAAGGCATTTCCAGCTGAGGCTTTCTGCAAGGCTTAGGGTACACGATCCTCTGATGACGTCAGAGTCATGAATACCCATGCCCCGCTTTCCACGTGCATGGTGTTGCTCTCAAGGTCCAGCCATGCGCTCAAAGAGACGCTTTTTCGTCATGGCCGCAGCAGTCATCGAAAGCTGCACCACCCTGCGGCATCATTCGGTTAAGGCTTCTTCTAGCTCGGATATCAGCATGTAGGGACCTAGGTCAGATCTCATTCGAGGTTGATGTTACTGGAATGAAAGCTGCACCAGGATGCTCACGCTCCACGGACAAGCTAGACTGGTCTTTTGAAGGCCGTGCTGGCTATATGCTTGCAGTGCTGGACCGACCAAGTGCTGCCGGCTATATCCAAAGCCCACATTTCATGGCCACTTAAAAATGCGATGTCGTGGTACGAAGACAGCTGAACTCACACCCGTTTATCTGGAGGTGCTGGTTCCTCTGTGAACAAACCGAAGGATCCTGACTCCGTGAATCGCAGCCAGTTGGCAAAGTAACCCTACCCCAAAGACCTTGCTCCTCACAGCCCTCCACATTCTTGAAGAGAGTCGAAGTATTCTCGCCGGAAGCTTACATGGCTTTATCTGGTTCTTGGAGAAGCCTATAACTTATAGCAGTTGTAAAGGGGCCCTAGACCCAAGGCTCTTAATGATACATATATATAAATATAGATATAAATATATAATACATATATATATATATATATATATTTTATATATATATATATACAGATTGTTGGGCCTTCTGGCCTCGCATTCGGACAGGCATAGTCTGAAGCGACACTACGACTGAAGTACGCAAGGAGGAGCCCGATTCCACCACTCTTGCGGGCAAAGGACACCTGGATCTTAATATGATCTAGGGTTCAGGATTTTGGGGTTGTTTGCACGACGAGCTAAGTTCTTTATTTTCGGCTATGGTGAAAGCAACGGTACGGTATGTCCTGCTACCGGCCCGCTTGGCTGCCTGCCGATCAGCATCGCCGGCTGCGGAAGACGGCCTCCCAGGCGCCTGTCATTCTTTTCGGCATCCAGGTGACAGTTGCAGGACATAGGGGGAGAACAAACATCTGCGGACGAATCTCCACAAATTTTGGATCTTCGGGTCCCCGACGCTCAAGGCTTTCGAGGTTGAGGGCTTTAGCTTCCTGCCATGAATGTATCACCGCGAAAAGATTAAACCCCAAAGCCCCCAAACATCCCTACAACCTACGCGTATGCCTCCAGCATCGAAAGACTACACCGGTCAGACGAGAGAGCTTGAAAGCAGCTCCTACTACAGCCAGAAATGCCCAGCTCAGGGGAAGCAAAAGACGTCAGACCTCCAACCCCTCCTAAACCCTCTGTTTGGGCGCTATCTTTCCTCATGACAACCTGGGAAACACTGTCTGAGCCCTATAAAGCTTCCAAGCTGAGACTGCAAGCTTCAAGTCGCAACTAGCCAGGCATGTGAGATTGAGGGTAAGATAGGGTAGACAGTAGCCCAGGGTAGTGAGATTTCAGCATGTCTGTGCTTATACCTAGCATTTCTTAACAGTTGTGTTGGTAGCTATACGCGTGCATCAATGAGAGTACAAGTATGTAGCCACAGCAAACCGACGCAACTCCCAACCAACCCCGCACCCCTCAAACATGGACAGAACCTTGTTTGCAATTCTATTATAGTTGCATGCAAGTATTAGTCATCACAAGATGTACCAAGCAACCCCCAAGGAATAGTCTTCTTCTTCTTGTGAACTCTCGATCCGAAACCCTCACGAATAGCACTACCTAGCAATTATATTCAAGCCCTAAATCCTAAACCCTATTCAAGCTTCATCAAGCCGACCTCGGTCGGGATTCAACCGAAGGCAGCGCTCAGCACGCCGAAATTCGGCACGCAAGCGGCAGTTCCGAAAAGGGCTGAGATAAGGCCTCGGGCGGGGGTGGGTAAAGAGTTCCGCAGTTTAAGGGCTTCAGGGCTTTTTCGGTTTCGGGGTTACAAGGTTCAAGGTTAATGGGTTTTTTTGTCCCCCACCCCCAGCTGACAGAGTCGCACCGCAGGCTTAGGGTTTGGGGCTTTTTTTTGTAGATCCAAGTTTAGTTTAGGGATGCTGAAGGTTCCGGTTCTTTGGAGCAGGAGCTCAGATTTTGGGGCTATATGGTTCAGCTCACGCGGTTTGGAGTTTGGGTTCCACCTTTTAACTGGAGGATGTAGCGGAGAATATGCGAGCTTCCAGCATGACAGTGTGAGGTCACTCTGCTCTCCAAAACCTTTCGGTTTTACAGTTCGGAACCCTTGGTTTAGGGTTTAGGGTTTAGGGCCTCTTGCACGATCTTGGAAGAATCTTGGGCGTGGGCCAGGCCGGCAGCTTTTTGATGAGCCCCAATGCGAGATTGCACAACACGTGTGCTTGGCAGCACTGGGACCAAGCGAGCTCAGAGGGGATCTGTACAAGTATCCCTCCACTGAGGCTTTAGGGCTCAGAATTCAGGGGTGAAGGGGGAATGTAGGAACCTGATAAGAACCCCCATGGTTCTATCAGGGCTCTTCATACGCATCCCTCTTCTCCGGAAGATAGAACCACGGGGGTTGAAACCAGGTTCTTACAGTAAAGAAACGGAAGACTGGACAAGTTCCAGCTCCGTCTCAGACCAAACTGTGCACTTGCATCTCCCGATCTGCAGGGAGAGTCCGAAATCAATCCTTCAAACATTGCGCGAGGACGCTCCGGTGCTGGAAAGGTTGAAAAGCATGTCCATCTGCTTTGTAGAACTTGCTTTGGAACTCCACCCAATGCAACCGGAGGGTGTGGAGGAAGCATTCCTCACAGATCGGGTGAAGCACGAGCTCAGCAAACAAAGCTTGCCACAGGTCTCCAAACACTGTCTAGCCGAGGCAAAACATGCAACAGGCAAACCGTACTGCTGACTTTTGCAACAAAGCTCCATCACGTCCATGCCACCCAGGATTGCCAGTGTCACACCAAACCACAAAGCGAAGCAAAAGTACACAGCCTCAACTGACATGAAGATCACAGACATGTGGGCACAATCTGGCTTCTGTCTCCCAGACCAACCACTCAGAACAACAATGACAACACCGTGTACTCTTAACGCGAGCAATCGCAGATGCCGATACGAACAACAGTCTGGGAGGAGTTGGAGACATGCCTAAATCATCGCTCCCTCGGCGCATCAAAGCCTGTTAGGGCCTCGACTATCAGAGTCAGCCCCGCTCGGCTTGGGAGTTCATGGGCTTACGTACCCCATGGTAGTGAGGAATGAGCACAATCGCCCAAGCTAGTAAACATCGGAGTAACAATGAAGACTATGGCATCAGTTTCATATTGGGCCTTATACGGTGATTCACGAACGCCCATTGTGTGAGCCGCCGGGTAGGGTCAGGGTAAGATGGCTCGGAACCGAAAATCACTTGATCCAAGCTGCAAAGATGTTCAGTGGCAGCGGCATCGCCATACCAGACAGGAGAATCAAGTTAAAGAACACGAGGGAGAGCTGCTGATGCGCCAAAGACAGTGCCTGCAAATCTCTTGGCAAGAAGCTTGGGAACTGCATCTAAGTTTTTCGGCCAGGATAGGATGTGCAGCCGAGCTGCCCAGAGGCGCAGGTATGATGCCGTGTGCGACACCGTCCCGAGAACGAACTCAATGGTCTCGATAACCTCGCAGGGTCCACCACATAGTGCTCATGATCGGTAGCCGAGCGTTGGGAAGCCGGCATATACGATTGTCAAATCCACACACTCAAACAAAGAAAACGAACACTCTCTCTCTCTCTCTCACCCGTGCTCCCCCTCCTCCTCCCTCTCCCTCTCCCTCTTTCCGTCTCTCTCTCTCTCTCCCTTCCTCTCTTGCTTCTTGCTTGCTTGCTTGCTTGCAAAGGATTTGGGGATTTAAGTGGAGGCTCACTCGGTTTCTGTCTCTCTCTCTCTCTCTGTCTCTGTCTCTCTCCCATTCTTCTTCTGCCACAGGGCTCAGGGAGCGTTCGAAGCCCCCTGGTGCCCCATGTTTTATGCGGTTGTTGAAGGGGCTGTGACACCTAACGTGCCAATACTCTCTTCTTTCTTTCGCCAGGGCTGTGGTGCTGTGGTGCAGGGGATAACCCCTCTTATCTCTCCCTCTCTCTCCCTCTCTCTCCCTCTCCCTCCCT